CAGGCTCCACTGGCTCTGGGAAGGTGCTCCACTCCCTGGCGCTGATGCGGGGGAATGGAGCACTTCCCCGGAGCCAGCGGAGCCTGCACCAGCTCCAGCCCCTGGCCCGTGGGTCCGGCCCCCAGCTCCAGACCCTGGCCCCTGGGTCCGGCCCCCAGCCCCAGCCTCCGGCCCCCGGCCTCGGCTGCAGCCCCCGGCCTCCGGGCCTTAGGCCCTGGCCTCCAGCCCCCTTCAATAAGTGTCCCATGCTGGACCGAGGTGGCGGGCTCACAGACCGAGGCGGCGCGCTCACAGACTGCTACTCCTTAGAGGGAACATTGGTCAGGTGTGGTGTCTGGGAACGAGACGGGTGGGGGGAGGAGACCCTGGGATCTTGGGGTGGTGACAGCACAGGACCAGGGCAGAGCTGCAATCCACTGCCCACATGCCCCTGAGATGGACGAGGGTTTCAGGAGCAGGGGCATGCAGGGAGCGGGTCTGGGATGGGGCAGAGCCATAATCTGTTTCCTGCATGCCTCTGCCTGTGGAGCCCATACCCATTGCAGGGGCGTGTGGGCAATGGATTGCAGCTCTGCCCCAGGACTCAGCCCCGTGCTGTCACTACTCCACAACCCCACCTTGTGATCCTGGCCTCGCCCACCCATCCCACTCCCAAACAGTTCTCCCCGCCCATGGTCCCATAGGGAGTTTTAGTGAACTGTTAGAGGGGGAGAGGGACTGGGGTGCTTATCTGGCCCACAACAGCTCAGCAAAATTGCCTGTGTGGCTCATGAACCCAAATAATTGCCCTATTTATACTTTTGTCCTACCTAAAAGGTTTTAAGCCCTGACCTCAGTCATAACACCTTTTAAGTATCTACAGATGACTAGCTGGTCTCCCAAACCTCCTCTATTTTGTTCATAGCCACATGATGCATATTTAGCAATCGTCCCCCCCCAGTATAGCCGTGAAACCTCCCATTCCTTTCCATGGTTCATCTCACTCTGGTTTTACACTGTTCCTGTGTGCCTCTTAGGAAATGGATATTGATGAGATCCTGCGCCTGGCTGAAACACGAGAGAACGAAGTGTCCACAAGCGCCACGGATGAGCTCCTGTCCCAATTCAAGGTATAAAACAGATAGGCTTCTTAAGGACAGGAGAATGAGAGGGACTGTCTGTCTCCCTAGCAGTGGGTGAGTTGAAGGGCTATGAGTAACCTTGCCAAATTCAACATCAGTGAAGTTCACTGAGAAGAAGGGACGGATCTGATCAATACTGGCCCAGCCCCACATTGACTTCCCATGAGAAGTCTCTAACCAATCTCTTGGCAGGCTCTACAGGAGCAAATAGAAACTGTCTTTACCCAGCAAGGGCCTGATGAGTTTGATGCATGGGAAAAACTAGAGATATGTTTATAAGTGATCTTGAGGAAGGGAAAATACACGATCTACTTATCTTCGGGAACTAAGAGGCTAACCTGACAGAAGCTGAGGCTGAAGCCTCAATATTGCTTATAAATTTCATGTTCCTACTGATAGTTGGAAGAGAAGGCAAAAATAGGAACAGAAAGACTTTGGTTATAAAGTAATTACTTAAGCCTTGGCAAAGTTCCTCGAGAGAGAACTTGAGGTGGGACCAGCAAATCTCTGGTAAGATTGCCAGTGGGTGCTTCCAACCCTAAGGGTGTGCCTTTGCTTAAAAGGTGGCCAACTTTGCAACCATGGAGGAGGAAGAGACTGAGCTGGATGAGAAGTCCCAGAGAGACTGGGATGACATCATTCCTGAGGAGCAGAGGAAGAAAGTCGAGGAGGAGGAACGACAGAAGGAGCTGGAGGAAATCTACATGTTACCCAGAATCCGGAGCTCTACCAAAAAGGTACAGTGTGTATGGGGGGCAGCTGGGAGAGCATATCACCGGAGGCAAAGAGTAGGGAGAAGGCATTCTGGTGTGAATAGTTTTCTGGATCTGAGACCATCCCTGTCAAAGGGCATTTGAGACAAAGTGGAAATCAGATGGTAGGTCTGTTGTGTGCCGTATGCGTTAGACCTTGGGTCTGTGGTACAACCTTTGGATCCATGATGAAGTAGTAATGTGTCCAACTCATTTTGTGCTTTACAGAAAAAAATATACAAGCTGTGGAATCCATCTAGATTTTAACACAAGGCCAAATAACAAGCTGTTTGGTGGAGGCTAGATTAGAGATTATTTTTGAGGTGTAAATGGGACAAATTGCTGAAAGGGAACTGCTCCTTCTTTTCCACTTAGGTCTGTGGGTGTTTGCAGGGCCAGCTGAGCCCCTCCTTCCATCTACATTGGGCACTTCACTTTGGTAGTTTTCATAGAAATAAAGGAATTGGCAGAGCCAGCAATTGTTAGGTCATTTCTACCATGTATGGTTGTTTGACAGTGGGCTATCAAGTACTCTGAACAGCACTGTTAATGGCAACCTTACCTATTTCCAGGATGTTTGTTTTCCATCTCCTCACTGAGCTTCACAGCTCACCACGGTTTCCAGAAAAGAGAGCACCCTTTCCAAGTTAGGTGTTTAAGTAGGAAACTCCATTAGTACAGGGAACTTGTGTATCATTCCCATGCTTTAGATAAGGTGCATAGGAAGCGTTGACTTCAAACCTGTAAAAGCAGGTTGATTCAGTGCTTGGGTACTTTGGGTTTCTAGAAACTGGGGAAGTGGAGATCATCATTGGCACCTTGGTGTTTAGGAGTTTGACTTTGGGACCTTCAGTGTTATCACAAAAGTGTTTGGAATTAGCCTGGCCCAAGGAGTTGCATGCAGGTTGCCTTGCAAAAAAAATGAATGAGATAGCAAAGTAGTTCCTGTTACAGTAGTATTGCGCTCTTGCCACGTTTCAGGCTCAGACAAATGACAGTGAGTCGGATGCTGAAACAAAGAGGAGGCTTCAGAGGTCTTCTGGGTCGGAGAGTGAGACCGATGACACTGATGATGAAAAAAGGCCAAAGCGCAGAGGCCGTCCCCGGAGCGTGAGGAAGGATACCGTGGAAGGATTCACCGATGCTGAAATCAGGAGGTCAGTGCTGTGTGCAGGAGATGGGGAGAAGAGCGAGTTTGTGTAGATACAGCCATGACCATGGTTATGTCCCTCCCTCCCTCCCGAGCAAAGCACTTGCAAGTGTTGAATCACTTAGTTGGACTGGAGCCACCATCTTCTGAAAATCCCTCTTCTCAGGTGTCCTCTATACTTTGGGGGAGCAAACATTTATTCTGGGATTAATCCATTCTAGGTGGTGGCACTACATGCGTCTCTGTGCCTTCAGAAGGCTGTTGTTATTTTAATGCAGGAATTGTGAGGAGGAGGAATCCTGTTTTCCTGGCTCCTGTCATTTTTTTTGAATTTCCATGCTCTTGGGCTTGCCTCCAGCTGATGGCCTTTGAAATGAGCTTGATAGTCATTAGTCAGGCTCCAGCAAGATACGTACCTGTAATTCTCCAAAAACACTCCTGAAATTGCCAGCCTCCAAGTGGGTATGCCTAATTCAGGTTTTAGGCAAGGGTGCGTGGGGGAAGCTTGAACTGCCACTTGGCTCAGACCAAGATCTCTGATCTTGACACTGTTGCTAAAGCAATGTTCCTGAGCACCAAATTCACCTCCAGGAAGACACGTTTCCTTTCAGTTTTAATTTAAATAAAAGGCAAACTGATATGTTCAGTTAAGAATAATAACCCAAGAATAACTGGTGTGATAATGAGGTATCCTCCACTCTCAACATATTACATGTATCGGTGTGGTTGGCTCACAGAATCCCAAGACACCTTTTTGTTTTTGTACTTCCAAGCTGGAACTACCTCTAACCTCTTAAGCCTTTCCAAAGGAGCTTTATTGGAAGGCAGTGTCCAAAGGCCTGGCCAGAGAGGGACAAGAGGCTTTCTTGAGTTTTCACCAACTTAGAATCACAGAATCATAGAAAATGAGGGTTGGAAGGGACCTCAGGGGGTCACATCTAGTCCAACCCTCTGCTCAAAGCAGGACCATCCTCAACTGGATCATCCCAGCCAAGGCTTTGTTGAGCCAGGCCTTAAATACCCCGAAGGATGGAGATGCCACCACCTCTCTGTGTAACCTGTTCCAGTGCATCACCCTCCTAGTGAGAGAGTTTTTCCTAATATCTAACCAAATGTCCCTTGTTGCAACTTGAGCCTATTGGGCACCTAGACACATGCCAGACATCTGCTCCCATGAGCTTTAGTTCAGGTATCTCTGCTGCCATTTTGAAGCACGGGACATTGAATATACATGACACTGTGAGTGTTTTAATTAGAGTGGCTCTCAGAGCCACTCTAAAATTCCCCCAATCCCTCCACCCCAGGGCACATGTATAGATGCCCTCTGCTTCTTGTTCTGTCACCACTGAGAACAGCCCAGCTCCATCTTCTTTCAAACCCCCGTGCAGGGAGTTGAAGGCTGCTATTAAATCCTCCCTCTGTCTTCTCATCTCCAGACTAAATAAGGGGGTAATCATTACTTCCCTTGATCTGCTGGCAACTCTCTTACTAATGCAGCCCAGTACACCGTTAGCCTTCTTGTCAACAAGGGCACACTGCTGGCTCGTATCCAGCTTATTGTCCATTGTAACCTCAGGTCCTTTTCTGCTTAGCCAGTTGGTCCCAAGCCTGTAGCTTCATCCCAAGGCTTGGTCCCAAGCCTGCAACTTCCTTGCATCTTTGAGCTGCTGGATTTTACATCTGCGATAACTAGCTTGTTGCAGTGACTATAAACCAACCCTGAAATTGTATGGAGGGATGAATGTGTTTCATTGTGGAATATAATAGAGTTTTACTCTTTAGAAGGCGGAGAAAGCTGAGTGAGCAGGAATTTTTGGGGTGGATTTTTTAAAGCCGTTACTCCTTTTTTATTTATTTTTTGATCGGTCGCTGAAGTCATTGGGACTACTCAGAGAGGAAGTATTCTTCAGTCTGGGGTACAGTTGGCAAACTCTAGATCTGTCGCTGTGTGTACGCCATGTGACTGTAAAAGACTCCCCTCCCTGCCTTACAAAAATAAAACCGTTTCAGGCTTGTCTGCCTGCTAATGAACAAGACTGGTTGCTAGATGGCTTCACATTTGGTTCTTTTTTTTCAGTGGTTTTCTATGTTTACAGCATAAGCTTTGAAATTACTAATGACATTTATTTAACACCACTTTTCTCCATGGAAAATAAACTTAATATTTACTAGCACAGTGTGAGCCAAGACAGTTCTTTTTAACTAAAATTATGACTGTCCTTTTTTTTCACTGTGACAAATGCCCAGCATTAATAGTAACCCTCTGTCCTCCTCCAGCTCCTTCTAGCCAAGGATTACAAAGCTCTGTGCCATCATTAATGAATTAAACCTTGCAAAACAGCTCTGTGAAATGCTTAGGCAGTGGAAGTGGAAGACTGGACAAAAGGATGTGGGAGCTCATGAAACACCTCAATGTTTCAACTGCATTTAACATTTAAGACCCCTTTTATGAATCCTAGAGAATCAAAGACTCATGGAGAAGTAGGGCTGGATATTACATTGATTCTGTTTTGAGATTTGTCTGGGTTTTTTTGTTTAGGTTTATCAAGGCATATAAGAAATTCGGGCTTCCTCTTGAAAGGTAAGTGTCAAATTGATTCTGCTCTTGAGAAAAGTTATCTGGGCTAATGCATTTATAAATGTGATGTTATTGAGGGAGGTGAGCAGGAGACTTTTAAATCTGGTGACATGAGAATCTCCATGCATTGCTCGGTCCATGGATGTCTACAAGGTAGTAGATAGGCCCTGGGCTGCTTGGACGGAGCAAAACCTCACTGGGTCGTTGCATTCAGGGATAATAGAGTAGGAGTTCTGTATTGGAGGTACAGGAACACAGTCTGCCTGATCTGGCATCTGTAGTCACTGGAGAAGCTTTCAGTGAAGATCTGTAAGTCATCTCCAGTAACATCATGCTATACTGTACTATAGGGGAAATGTCCTCTTGTCCCCAGTGGCCATTACCTTAGGCTCTGAGATGTCAGGATCCCTTACACCTTGTCATTATTACCCTTGTCATTTTTATCCTAGCTAGTTTCAGCTCTGTTGTGGGGGACAGAGTGTTTGGGAGCAGGGAGCATTTATCTCAAGTTCAGATAGTGCAGGGAAAGTCTAGAGCAACGGAGGATAGTCAACGACTGAGTCTCCAGATGCATCCAGGAGTTTTCTCTATGTTTTAACAATGGGAAAGTCCACTGTTGTCCAGAGGACTGAATTGTTCAGACGACTCACAGGCAGTTTAAATGGAGTTGGCTGCATTACGTTTAGAGTATGATAAACTAAAGGCTTCATATACAATTAATGGGAAACTCTGCAGCTGCTGGTTACATGCAGATGTACCTGCCCTGTTGAACAACTAGTGGATTTGGTATGAACTTGTTTACAGCCAGGTGTACTCAGAGATGCTTCATTCTGGGTATTTCTTTGGGACTGGGAATGTTGCGTTGTGTTGTGGGATGCTGGGTCCTTCTTGTATATGGCTCTGTGGAAGGTGGCATCATATCCCATCTTCTGCAATCTGGTATCTTAACCCAGCACAGTGGAAGTGGAGGGTGCCGATGCATGCATCTTGCTAAACAGCTTTATCCTCGTCCAGCTCACAGTTAAGCAATAACTTGCTTCTTGCTGCATCTACTCTGAACTTTGAAACACTGAGGCAGCAGCTCTGTGGGGTGCCTTGAGATCCTTTCAAGGGTGCTGTGGGGTGCCACACAATGTTAGTAGTTAGGTGGGCACACATGATTAATGAGATCAACCCATAGTTTTCAAACAGAAATCCATAGTGTTAAAAACGTAGTGTCAGAAATCCATAGTGTTGTCTGAGTTCTTGGCAACAGAAGAGTTGTGCTATTACTTTTCTGTAGTCAGAAAGAGTGAAAACTAAGAGATGGCATTTTCAAAGGGTGCCTCAAGTCTATTGAGGGGTGCCTTGTATCTAGACTACTTGAGAAACACGGCACTAAGGCTTAATATGGCCTTTCAACTAAGCGGTATTACTCCAGGATTTAACCCTTGTTAAAGATGAACATAGGAATTTCAGTGCATTGGACAAAAAAGGGTGAGACACTTGGGAGTCATAGCATGAAAAGCTAATTCAGAGATGCCCTTGACACTGAGAGAGATGTTTTGGCTCTCAGTTAAGGGCAGCTAATGTAAAAAGAAAAAAAAAAAGTTGAGCTAAAATAAATGTTTTCCCAAGTATAATAGGAACTGATCAGTTTTATCTGGAAAGCATCATGCCTGAATCCTGAAAAATAGACTGTGTGCAATGTGATGGATTATTAAAAGCTCAGAGAGAGATTCTTCATGCAGGGGAGGTTATACCACGTACAGTTAGCAAGGAGGCTTGGAGTTATATAATCTGAGCACTGTTAGCAGCCAGAGTTTGAGCCTGAAGCCTTTGGTCCTTTTTTTCCCCTTTCTCAGGCTGGAGTGCATTGCCCGGGATGCTGAGCTGGTGGACAAGTCTGTAGCTGATCTGAAACGTTTGGGGGAGCTTATTCACAACAGCTGCGTGTCAGCGATGCAAGAATATGAGGAGCAGCTGAAAGAAAATCCTGGTGAGGGTGAGTGAAAGCACTGCATGCTGGTTGCACTGGCGTCTTTGTGTTGATCCACGGTGCTACTGGGGGAAGTATCCCTGTTCTAGATGAGATGGTGGGTCAGATTAGCAACAATGCCGGCAGTGGTCTTGTCACTGAAGAATAAGAGCTAGCTTAAATTTTGCTGCTTCTCTCACCTGTAGAAAGCTAATCCAGTTCTGAATCCTTGCATCTTTCAGATGGTGCTTATAATGAGAGAAATAAGTCATCAGCTTATTTCAGGTTGGCGCATGAAGCCAAGCACAAAACCAGGGCATATTTAACTGCTTTCTGGGCTGGAATCAACCCAAAGCCTGCATCCTTCATTAGATCTGTGCTTTCAATTACCACCCAGAAACATTCCAGTGCTCCCATGGCACTGGGCCAAAGTCGTGTACATACTTCTAAAGATTAGGTCCGGGAGGACTTAAAAGCCCATTATTGCATCTGAAATTTTTCCAGTCTGTTCATTAATGTTTTACATTGAAATCTTCGTTGCTTCTGAGCAGGCAAAGGGCCTGGGAAAAGGAGGGGCCCAACCATCAAGATTTCTGGAGTCCAAGTCAACGTCAAATCCATCATCCAGCATGAGGAGGAGTTTGAAATGCTGCACAAATCCATTCCCACAGACCCTGAGGAAAGGAAGAAGTGAGTGTGGACAGTTGGGTGCACAGATGGGGGGGGGTTGAGTTTTGTGATGGCCAAAAGATAGCTTGGGAATATGGTTTTACTTTACACCACAGCCTTGAATGAGCCCCTCACCCCCGTCTTGTGTTTGAACTCCCCTCAGATACTGCCTGACCTGTCGTGTCAAAGCTGCCCATTTTGATGTCGACTGGGGAGTGGAGGAGGATTCTCGCTTGTTAGTTGGAATTTATGAACATGGCTATGGAAACTGGGAGCTAATTAAAACGGACCCAGAACTGAAGTTAGCTGATAAGGTAGGTCTCGGGATGCTGCTTGCTATGGTTCCTTGACAAGTTCAAGGAGACACGTTTGCTTTGCTTCAGAAGCAGATGTTCTCTGAACTGCTTCAGAAAAACATTTTGAGGAAAATTGTGACCTTTGTGGAATGCTGCATCGTGCCTGGTGGAAACCAGAAACCAGAGTTATGTTACTTGATTGGCAATGAATTTGCTCTGAACCACTCCATATAAACCACATTGTAACGACGTGTGAGGAAAGCAATGACAATGGTATTTGTGGCGAACTGCACAGTATTACGAAGTCTGGCCCTAGTGATTGTTTCCTTGTGCATCTAATGAGTATAAAGAGTTCTTCCCAGTATAATGACAGTGGTTCAGGCTCTGGGGTCAACTTCAGGTAATGCCGCTGCTAGTGGATACAGATGTGCAGGAGCAAAGATCAGATTGAGTCGTGATGTGACTGAGTTCCCTCACATGCGATGCAAAGAAAAGCAATTTAAAACTGAAATGAATGCCACAGACACGGTTGCGGGAGTTCAGTGGGGTTAAAGAAATACTCTTCTAATTCTGACTCGCATCAAGCTGGAGAGGGCCTCCTGTAACCCATAATGGAGGGTCCTAGCAGGCTGTGCTCACACATACCCTTTCATCTCAGTAACAGTCGAGGTGTGGTAGCCCTTCACATCTCGAGAGTGCTTTGTGCTGAGTGCTGTTTGTGCCTGGGAGCCAGGCTAAAGTAGCTTCCCTGAGGCTCCTCTGCTTTCCTGGGTGGGAGGAAGGGGATTAGTAGTATGTACCTGTTCCCTTCATGGTTTGATAGGTTCGTGTTGGTGTTTTGTTTTATCAAAAGATCCTACCTGTTGAGACAGATAAGAAACCTCAGGGAAAGCAGCTCCAGACCCGAGTCGACTATCTGCTGAAACTGCTGAAGAAAGATCTAGAGAAGAAAGAAAACACGAAAGACGGGGAAGAGGTGAGAGTGCGGCCAAGTGTCCCACGAGCATTTGGACATTGTGTAGAAGGAAACAACACAACCCAAATGTCCAGCTCATTAAATAGTTTGTTTGAGGGGTTCATGGATGTGTCTGAACTCTGATCACTATATCGTACTAAAACAAGATTAAGGAGCGGGTATTAGTGGATAAGACACAGAGAACCCAATATGGCCCTCTGCTAACTTTACAGGCCTGTCACTTTTTTTCTTACCTGTAAGTGAGTGCTCTTGATGTGTGACTCACTGGAAGACCCCCTAATGGTAGCAGGTCCTGAGTCCTTCTTAGTCCTGTCAGTAGCATTTTAGTGTCAGCAGTCTGTTCGTTCACGGTAGGGTTTTTTGCACTCAGGATAGCTCTCTCAGGCCTCTGATGCATTTTCTGTTTCTAGCCCACATAAAAGCCGCTGGCTGATTGTGGGTTCTCACAACCCGTCAGTGGTGCTCTTTGCCCTTTGCTGCCACCTTCCATTGCCCAGAGCATCTGAAGGAAAAGTGGCCTTTCTCTTTCCAGGAAGCTGGCTGAAGCTGTTTCCTAACTGGGTTCTCTTTTTACGTAGAGCAAACTAAAGAAGAGGAAACCACGTGTAAAGAAAGAGAATAAAGCCCCTAAAGTCAAAGATGAGCATGGGAATGAACTGTCCTCGCCTCGGCACTCTGACAACCCATCAGAAGAGGGTGAAGTCAAGGTGGGTGAATCCAAGCTGAAGTGGCTTTTCCAAGTATTTCTGAACTGCATTGGTGCTGCAGAAGATAGGTTTGAACAGCACCTAGAGCAAATGCTTCCAGTGACCAGCAGAAAACCTAGTGTTAAACTTCCATAGGAGATTAGCGGATCTGCCCAAGCAGTGGGCTTAACTTGTGCATGGAGGAGGTAATAAAGCTTTGATATAGATCAAGGCTTCTGACCCTGTAAAGGAGAGAATTCTTTCCATATCAGGAAGCTTACTATTAGCAAAGTTTATCAAGATTGTGTTGTTCCATGAAAGGGAGTCTGTGTGTGCATGGCTTGGCATGCAGTTTGAAGGTTTGCTCGTGCTTCTGATCAGTTGCTGTGTTAAGAGCTATCTGATGTGTACTCCTGACAGGTAAATTGGATTATGGAACAGTATATTGGTTTGTATTTTGCCAGCCCACTACAGCTGGAGGTTGATTTAATTCATATCCTTAAGAGGGAAAGTTTATAGGGGATTACTGCACTGGCCTTGCTTTCAGATTAAAAGGAGCAAGGAAAAACTGAGTGAGCTGGAAGACTTAGCTGCTGTTCAAGAACACGTGCTTCGTAGAAGCAAGGGTGTGTGAAGTGAGGGACTCTGGTTTTGTGAGCAATAGTTCAGTCTGTGCTGTAACTGATTTTCCAGGAGGATGGTTTGGAAAAGAGCCCAGTGAAAAAGAAACAGAAGAAGAAAGAGAACAAAGAGAACAAGGAGAAACAGACAACCACTAAAAAGGAGAAGGAAGGCGACAAAGAGAAAAAAAAGACAAAGGATAAGAAAGAGAAGGTACTGGCTGTGTTTCATGTGGAGCCTTTAGATCCAGGTGTTCCAGGCCTTGAATCATGTTCAGGATTTATATTCAAATCCCAGGTCTGTTGATGCGTATTGATTTTGTAGAGCTATTTAATTGAGAGAGGGATGAGATCCCAAAGGATAATATTCAGAAGAGGGCTTATTCCCCCTTCAAGCCCCCAGAAGTTCATGGAGAGGTTTAGTTGGAGAAGGAGGAAGAAAATTTCTGCACAGAAGAATGGGAAAGTGTAACATATTTGCAGAGTTTGAAAGTGAAAGACAGGGAGGAATCCCCAAGGCTAGGGACAGACATTACACACAAACCGGTTTAAGTGATCAGAAACTGATTTAAACCTGTAACAGAACAGATGCTCAGTGCACATAAACTGGTTTGAAAATGTCTGAAACTGGTTGAATGTAGTATCAGATTTAACTGATTTGGCTCAAACCAGTTTATTCAATGTGTGTCCCAGACCCCTGTGGAACAAAATGGCAGAATAGCTGGAATCTGTGAACAGAGCGAGAAGAGCCGGGAGCCTGAGGGTGTTGGACTTTGGTCCTGGGCTTGGCAGGTCCCTGTGCAATCCCCTCTAAGTAAAATCTACCCAGAATAACCCAACTGTCCAAGACCCACAGACACCACAATGTGATGTCATGTCTGCTCACATATCCGCTGACTGTGATTCTTTCAGCGCGAGTGTCAGGCTTGGGACAAAGCGTGGCTAAAATTCTACTTGAATTTCTAGTCACTTGCCGTGGGCAGGATGCAGACTAGACAAAAGGATGCCTAATGATTTTTAGAAGCACCTGCTCATGGAATGGATGTGTACTGAATAGTCAGTCCATCCTGAAATTTAGGTTAGAAGTCAAAGCTTCAATCTTTTGGAAAATACTGGTGTAAAGTTCATTTTCCAGTGGGGTGCAGCCTGGCCTCAAAGCTAACATTAAGGACCAGGAGCTGTGAAACAGTTGTGCTGATGACTCTTAAAAGATTTTGTGTGTAACCTCAGGCACTTAAGTCAAACTTTTCAGTAGTGGCCAGTGATCTTGAATACCCAGTTTCAGAGCAATTGAGCTTGATTTTCAGTGGTCCTGAGGACACGCAGCTCCGACTGACTTCAAATAGAGCTGCAAGCCCTTCTAAATCTCCTGTTGTGCTGAAACCTGACCCTTCGTAGGGGCACACGTTCCACATCTCCAATGTACTCTGTCCGCAGGTCCTCACAGATGAGTTCACTCGTATCCAGATTACACAAGGGTGACACAAACTTAATTTCTTCACTTGTGAAACACCCTGAGATCTGCAGAAGGGATGGGAAATAACAGTGCTGGGGTGATGTTACAGTTGTAATATCTGGGAAAAATCTGAAAGGGAAGGTTTTTTTGTGGCTGCTGTCTTATTAGACCAACTGTAGTGTTGGGAGGGACATAGACAGGCTTTTGGGTACCATTGTATACTGGCATCCAGAAGTCCCAGAAGTTTGTCTCTCCCAGCTATACAGCTGGTCCCATAAACACAGTTGCTATCAATGCCCAGGCGTTGATGGCTTAGTGGTACAGCTTTTGCTTGCTGTGTGGGTTCATTTCCTGGCCAGAGCACCAGAGGATTTAGTTGTTTGCAAAAGGGAATCCCCACTGGGGATTTTTTGGCCAGAAACTCTTGGAAGATCGATTCAGGCTCAACATTAGGAAAAACATGTTCACAGTCAGGGTGTCCAGACTGGAATAAGCTCCCTCTGGAGGTGGTGCAATCACCTACCCTGAAAATTTTCAAGAGGAGACTGGACAGTCACCTTGCTGGGGTCAGCCTGACCCCCAGTTGTTTTTCCTGCTTAGTGCAGGGGGGCTGGACCCGATCTTCTGAGGTCCCTTCCAGCCTTACAGTCTATGAATCTATGAAAAGATAACCCACAGAAACCTGTGCCAAATAGCAGCGTATCGTTTATGAACTGTTTTCAGTAAGACAGGCAGGCAAGGAGAGTAGTTAGTGGGACCGCTCAAAATCAAGAGTTTTGTTCTCTTACAGGCCAAAAGCAGTGATGCAAAATCTGGAAGTAAAGGGAAGAGATCTCAGGGTCCTGTGCACATTACTGCAGGAAGTGAACCCATCCCCATTGGTGAAGATGAGGATGATGACCTGGACCAAGAAACATTCAGCATAGTGAGTATTTTCTTTTGGGGACCAGAGCTGCAGAGGGAAAGCTAGGATGTGCCTTCACTCAATTATCACTTTCAGTTACTCTCTGGGGCTTTATTTATCTCAGTGCCAAGATGCCACAATACAGTTACCAGTTGTTACCCTAATGTGGACTCCTCTCTGCACGGGAAGCCTTTGAGGGTTTTGTAGACTTACTGCTTTCCATTCTAGAGGGAAACATACTCTCTGTATTGTTTAGCAGCAATTCCATCCAGCTAATTTGAGAGCATTGGGAATAGGCTCCCAAAGGAATCCAAACAGACCTTCACCTGGGGTGGAGACGGCTGATCTCACGTAGGCCCTGACATGGAGGAATACTGAAGACTCCAAATAGGGACCTGGGTGCTTCCATCCTCCCAGAAAACCATCACAATGTTGAAATAAAGCAGGAGAGATTTGAGTTACTTCCCTTCTAAATTCTGCCCCATGTAGTTGCACTGGTAATGCTTGCTTCATCCCTTCATCCAAAACAATGTAAAATGGAGGCTTAGAAGGGGCAGTGCAGCACCCTGACTAACTGCAGCACTCTCTTCATCCATACTAAAGGTTTATATTTCCCATGGCTCTCTTGACAGTCATCAGCCAAAGGTGCCCCTGTAGCTGTGTGTGGGGGTCCATTTCCTTCAGTAACCAAGGAGTTAACAGGTTATTCCTGTGCTGGAGGCATAGAGAAAGGGGGATGGGTGAGGGTTGAGAAGCACCTTTTATGGCCTGGAGGAGCTGCTGTGGCTCACTGAGCCAGGTCGACTGCCAGTGCATCCCAGACTCTGTAAAGGAAAACTCAGCAATGCAGAGTGTGCTGCAGCAGCACATTTGCCTGGCATGGGTGACTGCAATACCAGACCCAAAGACAGTCTGTTACATCAGACTCTTATCTGTTTGCTTTACATAACTACAGGGATATGAGCTTGAAATCTGGATGCCTGTGAAGATGACTTTATTGGTTTCAAGTACTACATTCGCCCCAGCTGTCCCTTGCTGGTTTTTGTGATTTTTTTTTTTTTTTTTTTTTTTCTGTCCCCTCTTATTTTTTTTTGTTTTTTTTTTTTTTCTGTCCCCTCTTATTTTTTTTTGTTTTTTTTTTTTTTCTGTCCCCTCTTATTTTTTTTTGTTTTTTTTTTTTTTCTGGTCCCTCTTAATTTTTTATGCATTTCTCTCCTTTGTTATAACCAAGACCCACAGTCAGCACGCAAGTTACTTACCGACTACATGCAAAATGTGGTCACATGCAGAAAGTAGAAAATAATGATGGTTTCCTCTCTCTTCTTCCAGTTTTGTTGAACCAATAAGTAAAACTCTCCCAATTGGCTAAAGCAGCTTTAAATTGAATGCCCCTTGAACCAGTGCCTTTAATTTAGTGTAGGCATGCTCCAACTCTTCCCTGCTTGTCCATGTGAGCAGTAGGATAGTAGGCTCAGTGCATGTTCAGTATCTGCAGAACAAATTATTGGCCTCCAGAAGGGAATTGGGTAAGTAGATGGTTGTGAGGAGACTGTCATCTCTGCCTCCTCACATCATAAAGTGTCTTACAGATGACTGTTTCTGTAGCATACGTCTCCTTATTTTAAAGGGAGAGAAAGCTAAGAGGCAGTATGAATGAATTTCTGCAGCCATGATGAGCCCAAGAAGTGTTAGCAAAACCAGTAAAAAAATTAACAAAGTTCTGCTCTGTCTTGCCTCTCCCAAGTGCAAAGAGAGGATGAGGCCAGTGAAGAAGGCATTGAAGCAACTGGATAAGCCAGATAAGGGATTGATGGTGCAGGAACAGCTGGAGCACACCCGCAACTGCCTCCTGAAAATTGGGGATCGCATCTCAGAGTGCCTTAAAGCGTATAATGACCAGGATCACATTAAGCTGTGGAGAAGGTAACACGCCTTTTGGGTTTCTTTGGTGAGTTTGTGAATATGGAAATGAAAGGAGTGTGCAGAGGATGCTGGATTTACGGTCCTGGAGGCAAAGGAAGTCCAGCTTGTGTGGCATTCCCAGACTTTCTCACCAGCTTGTTCTAGAGTTACCGGCTCAGAAATGAGGGGCTGAGACTCCACAGCTCTGAGATGATGGCTTTATCTATACCCAGGTCAGCAGTGTTTTTGGCCAGAGTACCAAAAACACCCCAACCTCAACCCATGCCTCGACTTGGCATGCCAAAGGTAGATGGTAGGGGAGCTGCAAGGGGTCCGATCCTTGTTGCTGGGGACGAGTGCACATGCACCTTGGGACACATGGCAGGGAAGGGGCCTGGGGCAGCACAACCTTGGTTCCTCCCCCATCGTCTGACCGGAGGCACATGCGAAGTTTCCGCTGCCACAGAGCCCAGCCAGGGCACCAGAGCCTGGCGCAGCTGTTTGCAGACTGTCTGCCACAGCTGGCCCAGGGTCTGCGCAGCTGCAGCAGATGTCTGGGAGGCTTCGAACAGCTGCACCAGGGCCTGGAGTCCTGACTTCATGACAGTGGCCGCTGTATGCTCACTTTGGGGCACCCAGTGCAGGAGGGGCCAGAGTGCACCCCAAGCCGTGTGTGCAGCCACTATGGCCCCAGAACCCAGTGGGGGCTGTGGAGCCCTGTGCAGCTGTTTGCAGCCTCCCAGCTGTAGCTGGGAGGCTGCTTGCAGCAGGGCTTGTAGCCTCCTGGCCACCTGCCACAAGCAGCCTGGGCTCCATGGGCCGGGGCTCCATTGCTGACCCCTGATCCATACCCTTACTTACGTGTAAGAGGTACTAATATCAGTCTAAGTCACTTCCTTATCTGCCTGAGCTAAATTGAAGCAAACCACTCTTAAGCTAAATGTGCCTACCATATCTTCTAATTAAAACATGTGCAGATTGGTGGGTACACAAACCTGGGGGTACTCTGGTCTGAGGAACTGGATTGAAACGGCTAACTCCTTCTGTCTAGGCTCGCCACTCAGATATAATCTTGAAATACCGTTATATAAAAACCAGACAGGTGACAGCCACTGTCCCACCTGAGTGGAGTAGGCAAAGTAGTTTAACAACATCAGTGAGGGAAAGGATATTGGATTTTAAATCTCCCATGAGGTTGAATTAGAAGCACAGCTAGAGGGCACTTTCCCTTTTAAAATGTGTGGGCGGGTGGGTGGATTAGTCTTGACAGTTCCCTTTCCAAGATGAAAGGGATTTTTCTCCAGTCTTTGCGCCCATATTTATTAATTCCTTTGGTCTGTTGTTAAGTTTCACCATCTGAGGAGAGACCAGACCAAAGATATTGATGGAAAAGCTGGAAGACTGTCTTGGAGGACAGATAAATCTGTGGCTAACCTGCTGCAGTGGGACTCTGGAGTCCTGGGTCCAGTTCTTAGCTTAGTTCATAAGCCATATGAAACTCTGGCATTCAATCTTAGTGAATTGGTGCCTCATATGTGAAGTGGGGTGTATAACTCCCAGCGCGTCACTTCTCCCATCCTTGTCTCTCTTGTACATTTAGACTGTGAGATCTTCGGGGCAGGGAATGTCTTAGCTTAGTGCCCAGCACTCTGGGGTCATGATCTCAGGAGGGGCCTTCAGGTTCTTTTACTGTAAATAACATTTGGAGAATATTGTTGTTGGCACCATTAGGATGTATATTATGCACTTTCTACTTTGTGCAATGTAATTTGATAACGAAAAACCAGCCGTTTCAGTGTGTGCAGGTAAAACTAGTGTGAAGGATGCGAGCTCTGTGTTTTGTACCACTGTTCTAATGAGGAAGACAGAAGTTATGCTGCTATTTCATAATTAACAGAAAAAAATCTTCATGTCCCTTCAGGAACCTATGGATCTTTGTGTCCAAGTTCACAGAATTTGATGCCAGAAAACTGCACAGGCTCTACAAGATGGCTCACAAGAAAAGGTCCCAGGAGGAGGAGGTAAGATCTGAAGGAGGGGTTTGTCCTGGGTAGAGCGCTCTCTCCTCACTGGAAGTCTCTCCTGCCTCAGCTCTTGTTAACGTTATTGGTGCTGTTTGAGGAGAGCAGTTGCTCACAGCCCGCCCGAGGCATTTGGCTGGCAGTTGAAGTGGAGAGCGGTGTTTCTGTGCCTTCTGTTGTGCTGTAAATCTCTCCGTTGACCTCTCCAGGAGCAGAAGAAGAAGGAGGATATGTCTGGAGCCAAAAAGCCATTTCGCGCAGAACCGCCAGGCTCCAGCCATGACTCTGTGATGTCTCAGTCTCATATGCCTCACAACCTGCACTCTCAGAAACTCCACCTGCCTCCCTCCCACCCTCAGCAGCAGATGCATGGCCACCAGCGGGATAACTACAGCCACCCCAACAAGAGACACTTCAGTAACACAGGTGAGTCTGATACCAGGGCATCAAAGAGAGGTGCTCCCGGGTCCACTGTTCATCCCCAGCCCAGGTCGTCTTCCAGTGGTAAATCCCCTGGAGCTTTTGTCCAGTCAAGTTGGAAGTGTCCCAGTCTCCCTGAGGAGATGACGAGAGAAAGTACCAACCAGATGTTAGCCATATACGTTACCCAGGTACTATAGGAACGGGGACAATATAGGAAAATAGAATTAGGACATTTTCCCTTGTATGTGATTTATATTGGTCCCAATTAATTTCATTTTGTTGCCACAAGACCCCTTTTAAAGATTCCTCTTCCCTCCTGGTATTTTTTAGCTATTACTAGTTTGCTAAGCATCCCTGGATGTAAGCCTCAGGAGAGCCCTGTAAGACCCACAAAGCTACACTGAAATCTTGAATGGGACAGATAGAAACCACTGCTCCAAGTAGGGGGTGAATTAACATTTAAGCATGTCACTGAGGCTTGTAGCCTGAGTCATGTTTTGGCCTGACCTTGAAGGGAGGGTGGGGTACAACCATCAGGCCCGTGTCTGAATGAAACCATCAGGCCCATACTTTCTAAACTGCAGATCGAGGCGACTGGCAGAGAGATCGAAAGTTTAACTATGGTGGTAACAGCAACCAGGTCTGGGGTGGAGATCGGCATCACCAGTACGAACAGCATTGGTACAAGGATCACCACTATGGGGATCGCCGGTCTCGCGGCGACCCTCACCGAAGCTCTGGGAACTACCGACCAAATAACCTCTCCCGCAAGAGGCCGTATGAGCCGTACAATAGCGAGCGAGACCACAGAGGACACAGAGATTATTACGACAGGTAACTATTCATCTGGATCATCCCAAACAGGCTGGAAGGAGCTGGTAACCAGTCACCAAGCTGCTGGTTTCCTTATGTCCTGGCTGCCACAAGGGGGAGCCAAGAAGCTCAGTGACCTGCCTGGGTTTCTTGGCATGGAGTTCAGTCCGAGCACAAGCTCTGATGCTTAATTGAGCTTTTTCTTCCTTTTTCTGGCTTGCTGGGTTACGCTGGGCTGGACATCATTTCTGCCTTGGCATCTGGACTGTAGTTGTCTTCCCCCCCAGCCCCCTTTGTCAATCTCTGAATAAGAGAGTGCTGATCCCTTGTTAGCTCTTAGTTTGCTTGTGCTCCTGACCAGGAATTGTCAGACACTATTGGAAGCTGACTGGGTAACTTCTTAAATGACTTCCCTCAGTTTCTCCTTTTCTCTGGCCATCCCAGCCATGTCCAGCTTTCATCTGGCTTCACCCTGAAAATCTTTTCCTCCCTGTCCCAAGGTTAGTTTCTTTCTCCCCTGCACACAGAGGTAATTATTTGAAGTCCCGTGGGCCTTATGGCAAGGGAAGGGGATGTAATCTCTAAATTGGGCAGTGACAGTCTACCTGATTTGTATCCAGCAGTTTCAGCTGGGTACAATCATCTTCCTGAATGTGCTCCAATGCACTTTGCACGGAGTAGTTGTGGGCTGTTAACAATCAGCTGCTGCCTTCCAGCCTAGCTAGCAGTGGGTGAGGTGTAACGGTGTGCAATTAGGATTTGCTTAACTTGCAAATGAGTTGGATAAATAAGCGCAGAGGATGCACCTGCTTTTCCCGTTGTTTACGAGTAGACCCCCATGGCACTATCTCTGCTGTTTCTGTGCTGTTTATATTTCCTCAGGAAAAGGTGGGTTGTCCAGTGTGCCTGCAGAGCACACCTCCAGGGCTATGTAAGTCACCAAAGTGTCATCCAGATGCCAAAATTAGCCCATACGTGGAGTCCTTCAGGATGGGAGGAACTGTGCGAGTGCCTGCTGCCGAGCTGACTTTCCTGTTTGTGTTTTCTGTCTAGACACCATCACGATTCCAAGCGGCGACGATCCGATGAGTTCAGGCCCCAAAATTACCACCAGCAGGATTTCCGGAGGATGTCGGATCACAGGCCACCCATGGGATACCATGGCCAGGGACCTTCGGACCATTACCGGTCCTTCCACATAGACAAATCGGGGGATTACAAACAGCCGCTTCCCCTTCCTCACCCCCAAGTCTCGGACCCTCGCTCGCCCCCGTCTCAGAAATCCCCTCACGATTCCAAGTCGCCCCTCGATCACCGGTCGCCCCTGGACAGGTCATTAGAACAGAAAAACAATCCAGATTATAACTGGAACATGCGGAAAACATAAAGCGATCGGGAGGAAGAGAGCACGTCTGAAATGTTTGGTCTGATGCAAGAGCAGCTGGTTTCTCACACCGGTAACCGGAGACTCTGAACATGCTGCTATCATCCTGTTGGGCGACAGAGGATTTGAGGGAGCAGGCGGGGGGGCTCTCCCCAGCTCTTAGTTCTGGTCTGGATTCCTTGTTGACTTCCCCCTTCTCCAGCTGAGCTTTGGAACCAGATCTGTTGCCCTTCTTTGCTGGGAGGTGCAGGTATCATCCTTTGCTTTAGAGTTTTGTTTTCCAAATCTGACAGACTCTTGTGAGTATTTCACAGCTGCAGAGCTTTCCCCACAACTAAGAGTGTGGATTGATGCTGCTGAGGACTCTGCGGATGGTTCTGTGCGCCCCGTCTGACTTGATGTTACATGACGGATGCTGCTGTGGGGTGGAGAGAAGCCAGTCAGGCTGAGGTTCAGATGAAATCGTGGTCGGGGTGGGAAAGATTTGGGGAGAGACGAAAGGGTCCTCCTGGAGTACATAACCGAACTGGTTCTCAGGCCTTGGAGAGGAAGCTGGGGGCGGGAGGGCGGTCCTGAGGTCTCTCCAGAGTGACTGAAAAGGTAGGAGCAGGGAGGTGCTGGTGACAGTCCATTGTTTTCCTGCCCACGTTATCATTTCTCATGTCATTATCCATTTCAAAGAGGGTGGCTCTGCTTTGCTGTGTCATCACGCCTTCCTGCAGCACAGATGGGGGTGGAAGACATTAGGTTTAGGGGCAGGAGCTGGGAAATCTCAGATCCACTGGAGGTGTGGAACAGGTGAAGGTCAGACTCCTATGAATGCTCAGTTCACTCTTCACCCCAGTGGGAAGGGAAGTGGGGGTGAGGTGGCGACAGTATTTCCCAGCGGATGGGCTTAGGAATCCATAACAAAACCCCTCTTTTCTCACTTAATACTGGCAGTCGGGACGTTTCAGATGCGCATGCAGGGCATGTTTCGGCTAGAAGCTGCATGGTCCCAGGGCACAGGAATGCTTCTGGGTGTCAGGGAATCCTAGCTTTTCTCCTCTCTGGCACCGACCTGCTGTAGCCGTTGGGGAAAACCATCCCTCCTTTGCACCTCAAAATGGATCACACCTCTTCCAGTGATCTGAGGATGAGAAGCTGTGCAGCGTGCTGGCAGAGGGCACCTACGGGTGTCCCCGGGGAAGGGCAGAGCTGGATCTGAATGCAGTTGGTTGCCCAGAGTTTTCCACAGTTTGCACAAAGCAGTGGGCTGGTCACCTCTGCCAAAGTCCCAGCAATCTGTAGTAATGCTTGAGAAGCTGGAAGTGGCTGTGTTGAATGAACCCCTGTGTTACAGTGGGACCTTGCACAAAGGCTTAGCACTTATATTTTGGGTGAGCAACAGACCAAGGAGGAAGGCAGAGGGGTCCCAGACTCTGCTTTCAACCCTCGGTGCCCCAGGTCATGAATTTATAATGGGGTGAGGAAGAAGGATGGTTCCTGGTCCAGCATTGCTGCACTTCTCAAAGTATTAGGAAAACACTGCGCGGTGTAGGGGGAATAGCCAGCTGCAGGGACTTGCTTCAACACTTCTGTTAAGCCAAAGGAGGGCAAAGCGGAGACGGCTGGCCAAGCACAGCCAGGGGTTCTTCTGCAAAGCAGCTGTCATCTACAGCAAGGAGTCGAGGCCCCTCCAGGTGACATGCAAGGGTCTGACTGGACCCTGGCAGCCAGGCCATTGAGTGCTGCCTCTCTATATTAAGGACGAAGCTGGCTGCAAATTGCTCTTCTTGAGGCAGCTCCAGTGTAGACCGCTGGCTGCTGGAAGGGTGCCAGCGTGATCCTTATTTGGGCAAAATCATGGCATTTTCTTGAAAGGTGGGTGTCAAGGGCATGCCTCACTGCTTTGCAGGCGGTTGAGGACAAGGTGTTAGTTTTCCTGTTAGCCACTTGGAAATTGCACACAGATGAACACTAATTATTCCCAAATGTCCTGTCTGCTTGGCACTGAGCGAGTTAAGTGCTCTGAAATGCCTGTGATCATGGTGCGTTGCATATACTCTGAGCTGTCTGGTTTCACTGGGCGCCTGCGTCCCATTAGACCGTAACAGAGTCACTGTGATTTGCGGCAAATTGGGAACAATGAAGTGATAGCGAGTCCCCATGACCAGCATAGGGCACGTCTGGGCCACTGAATCCAGTTCTTCAGTCCTGTTCATTTAACCCCTTCAGTGCCAAGGGACAGTGGGGGGCATCATGGGGCGACAGGACCAGGCTCCATTAAGTTGTGCATCCTGTCAGTCTCTTGAAGCTTGGCGCCCTTTTCTTTAATTTCCTTTTTTTTGTAAGCTTCCCGCAAACGTAAACGGTTTTGCTGGCTGGTGGGGAACCAGCTGCTGCTTCCTTCGGGGCAGTCCCGGTAGTGTTAAGTTGCTGTGGTACAGAGGGGAGAAGAGGGTGGGACAGGATTGAGCAGTCCTCCCACGTTTCCAATAAGCTGTGACAGCCAAGCATTCACATGCTGGCATTTGCAGAGAGGTCCTTGCTTTTCAGAGAAAGGAGCTGGCTCATCATGTAGATGCAGAAGGCAGCTCTTCACTGGATGGGGTGGAGAGAGATTTACTCTTTATTCACACTCATCAAACATTGCTATCCTAACCAGTGTTTGTGCCATAAAGTTGTAGCAAAAGGCAGTACCAGCCGGACCAGTGTTAAGGTTGCTGCAAAGCAGATGCGACTCCCCCACCAGAGAGGGATTTTCGGTGTCCGACTAGAGGGCTTCGGCCCTCGCTAGTTCCAATCAGTATGAAAAGTGTTTTGATTTTTCTTTTTAAAATAAAAAAAAGGAAAATGCAAAGTTGAAACTTTATCCAGGTCCTTCTGAGAATGATGCTCAAAAATCACGATTGCCTGATGCTGAACTATGGATTCTGTTTAGTTCTGTCGTGGCAGGTGTGTCTTGGCTGGCTTTGGTTTTACAGAAGCTGGAGAAAATAAACACTAGAGAAATAATTGCCCTCCCATGTGCACCCTAAAACGGGGACTGCAAAATCAGTGATTCAGGAATAGTCAGTTGAATGTCAAGAGGGTTGGGAGGAGACAGGCCCACATCCATCGATGTCAGTGTGATGCTTGTGTCAACATCTGGTGCAGCTGTTCTTACCAAACCAGCTACGGGATCGGCTGTAGCCTCATAGCAGGAAAAAAAGTAGTAGCTTCTTGTGTGGCTTTATTATTTTTTAAAGACATTCTCAGCCTGACCCTGTTCGATATGGTGCAGAGCTCGAGTCCATTGTAAATTCATGCTAGACAATGGAAATCCCACAGACCAAAACCTGGTGTCAACAGGTCTTGTTGGTACAGTACAACTTAAGTGGATATTTAACAGCTCTTGGAGACCATTGAAAGGGTCCACACAAAAGTCCTAAGTCTACTTGCATCCATTTCCTCCCTGGCTCCCCCTCCTGCAGGGGAGAGAAGGACTCTCTTACTGTAAAATTGTGGGACTTTTAAACCTGTTGACTTAAAACAAAACACAGTAATTAATATTAATTTATATTTGTGAAAAAAAATGCCACTGTCCTAGTGATTTCTGATGTAAATATGTTGTTTATATAGTATGTATTAAATTTTCCTACATTGTAAAACTGCTGTACTTTTGATTCTTGTATATTAAAAAGTGTTACTGAGATTTTCAGAACCTCGCCAGCTCCTTGCATCTGGTGTGTGTAATCCATAACGCGACACGGCTGTCAGCTCCTGGGATCGCTCCAGCCCCAGCCCCAGCCCCAGCCCCAGCTCTGGGATGCGTGTCTCTGGGCAAAACTCACACCCTTGCAGGTGTCTGGACAAGGCCGTTGCCAACACAAGGCTGGAAATTTGTTGGGGGGGAAGGAGTAGGAAGGGGTTTTTAACTCCTTCAGGCCATGTCCGTACTAGGAAGCTAAGACAGCTAATAACAGGTATTAAAACCCTGGCTCTGGTCTGCAGTTGCATACCGTTGGCATTTTCTACAAGTGGGCACTGACTTTCTGCATAGGGCAGCGGTTTATCTGTTCCTCTAAAAATTTCCAGCGAGGCTGTCTCTCTCTCTCTGACTTAAAATAGGCCTGTTTTGGATTGGCTGTTACAATGCTGACCTTCACTTGAGACGTATCTTCGGTTTTTTTCCCTTTCATTAGCAGAGATAGTAGCACATCAAGGTTTCTCTGCAATATTTTTCAACTCCTTTCTCTTGCAGTGTTGGCCATTAGCTCCCATCCCAGCAAAATGCAGTGGTGGTCCCTCCTCTGGGCCCTCAAATTTTATTCAGGGGATAAACAGGTAAAAAAGTCGAACCAAAGGGCATGTCTATACTGTGGCATATTAAACCTCAGCTCTGAGGAAATAAGGCTCACCCACCCACGCCTACTCCGCATATCACTTCTGGGAATGAGGTGAGGAGGGGGCCGTTGGTGCTGTGCTTAAGACCTGGTTGGAAGGGCCTCAGGAGGTCATCTAGTCCAAGCCCCTGCTCTAAGCAGGACCATCCCCAGCTATATCTATAGTGGCTTGGGATGTCTCTGGGCATTTTTGCTACCTTGCTTCTGGGGCTAATAGACCTGGAACAGAACAGGTCACTGGGATTCACTTGCTCCATGGTCCAGCCGAGCACCCTTCTGCTGCTGCATCCAGAGCAAGCCTACTGTTTTGTCATCTTGGGATCCCCGTGCTGAGCGAGGCACCATTCCCAAGGTCGGGGATCCGATTTGTCTGAGGCATAAACATCAAAACCAAGGCCCCGGTAAAGAAAATGAAGCCGTATAAGCCCCATCAGGGAAATGACAAAACCAGCAGGGGGGATTTTTTTTTCCCCAAAGCACTTTCTTGTGGTGGAAGAGAGAGTCATGGAAAACAATACAGGTGATGGCAGACGGCTCTCAGGTGTGTTAGCTGTCTGGCACAAAGAATTAGAGGAGTTTCTTAAAATGAGCCACTTGAGGCATGAAAGCTTTGGCTTGGGCTAGACAAGCTTTCTAACGAGGCCATCACAAGTTTCTAAGGTAAGTGGAATTATTTATGGGTTGAATGGGACAGTGTAGGGGCCGTGACCATGTACCTGTTGCACTGCTAAGGGCTGAACAAAACCAGAACAACCGGTCTGCGCCCCAGAGACAAAAGCAACAACCAAGGTGGCTCCGAAATAGCATCTAATGCAGTGGTGCCAGCTTATTCGTGATATTTGATGCATTTCTTAAAGCCCCAGGTTCTAGATTCAGAGGATTGTAAGCCAATCTGCGTCTGCTAAAAACAAACATACTTGTTCTTGTGCATTAAATTGTGGAGGAGAGTGTGAAACCTAACAAGGCATCCTGAAGCCTTGAAAACCAGGAGGCAGAGAAAGGCCCAGGTGCGGGTGCAGATAGATGTGCACGCACACAAGTCAAGATAATTGAAATCAATCCCATGATTTTTGATTACTTTAGGATTGGCAATGCTCCTAACCTATGTGCTGTCCTGGAAGATGCTTGAACATGATTATTTAGCTGCCTGGGTGGGTATTTGCAGTCCATGTTCATAGCAGGGGGCCTTGTCTTTGATGGTCTTAGGAAACAATCCCCTTCGGTTGTGACCTTGCCAACTTCTCCCTTCCTATCCACGAGCACGCAAAACCTCAACGGTGAGTGCAGCAAGTGCTGTGCAGAAAGGTAACATCACAGAGGTATTTGTTTTAATGCAGTTTCCCTAAGGGCTAATCCTTTGCTCTTCACCTTCCTGCCCCCACTCCTGTTTGACCCTTTCCCCAACCCTTGCATGTGTTGCCTGTCTGCCTTATAGATTCATAGATGTTCGGGCCTGGAAGGGACCTTATAAGTCCCCCTTCCCTCCTGGTGCTCCGTTTCCTTGGCTGAAGATATGCCAGAGCCTCAAACAGTAGTAGTTGCCTAACTCACATTCACATCACTGGCAGGTTAGGCACCCCAATAACATGTCTCCTTTTACCTCTTCATCCCAAGATTTTGCACTCAGCTGCCTCCTTCCTTCAGGCCTTCAAGCATTCCTTATAGGCCGGCAACAAGCAGATGACGGGGGATTAGTTCCTGACAGCTACTCCTGTTTCCTTTCTCCTTTATATTGGCAATTCAGTGCTTTTACAGACAACCAGGCTGTTTACAATGAGCCGCTTGGACACCCAGAGACCAGGGCCAACATCATATAACCAGCAAGTGACCCAAGAAGCAGTTTGGGAACCAGGGCCGAGGCGATCTGAACCGCTTACTGTCTGCACGAGGCTTGGCCAACGTGGAGGGCTAAATTACTCGGTGGGACATGCAGCAGTGACACATCGAGGAGAGCATCAACCCAGCCGACACCGAACTAGCCAGCACGAGTGGTGAGCCTCCCTCAGGCGTGTGACAAGACCCTGTAGCGGTTGTACTTCAGAGGGGTTCGTGTTTATGGCAGAATCATCAAGCAGGATGAAGTGATTTTTCCCAGCACACAAGCTGAGCTCCCACCACCCCTGGCCTCTTTCCCTCAACGCTACTTGGCCCACTCCCGCACAATGAGCACATACCCCACCGCAGCCCCTTGAGGAGCCCGCCAACCCCAATCCACTTTCAGCATGGTGGTAGGTGCACCAACCCCACTGTCATCCCACCACTGCCCTTGCAGCCCAGGGGCCAGGGATGAGCATGTGCCACCAGCCTTGCAGAACAACCCACCCACCAGCCGCTCCGGTCTGTTTTCAGCCGCTTTCTCCTCCTCCCCCATGTAAGTTGAGATGCTGCCAGTGCGGGGCATAGCTCCAACCCCAGCCAAAATCCAGGGCAGGGCATGAAGCTATTTCTCGGAGCTGTGAGCACTCATTATAAAAAGGCTTTTGCTTTTCACACCTGTAGCCACTGGATTCGGGCCGTTCCGTTCTCGCGGCTGGCGTCAGAGCCAAGCCAAGTCTCAGCCAGGAGTGAAATTTCACAGCTGAGTTCTACGCCCCTGAAAAATGGGTTTTATAATGGAAACACTGACACAGCTGTTCGCTCAAGCAATTTGGCACAGTGGGCAGTCTCAGCTCGAAAGAGGCCCAGGCCTGCAGCAGAAGGGAGGGGAGAGCCAAGCTCTGGGCTGGAGCGTGCCTGGGGAAGAGGGAGGCTTGCACAAAACCCACTTGGGACCCTCTCCCCCTCTTTTCCACAAGTGCTAAGTTTAGTTCTTGGGGCTCTTCTGCATCCTCCCTCCCCACCCCTCTGGGATCCACGAGTTCACTCTTGTGACCAGTTCCCGGGTCAGCCCAGCCCACGTGAGAGCAGGCGTAGTGCAAAGCGCTTTCTAACTCACTGGCGTCCTCAGTGGCGCGGCTCTCCCCTCTGTGTGTCACTGGGGACACATGCAACACCGTTTCTTGCATTGCAAAAATGCTCTGTGGCTGTCCCTGTGAGCTGTAGCACATGTCTGTCATGAGCTCCTGGGGTGAATCGTGGGCAGGTGATGGGGAGCTATCGGCATTCAAGTGATGTAACCTCATTGCAAAGCAGGTGGGTTACCAGCTCAAGTGACAGCAGCACCTTGGGCTTTAGCTTATGCCCCAAGCCACATCAGCTACCTGGGTAGAAAGCACTCCGGTGAGAAGGTTTTGGGTGCGGACAGGAGGAGATGAAGCTCTGCAACTCGATCTTACACCCTCCTGCTACCTTCCAGGGCTTCCTTGCTCCTCAAACAGACCTGTAACCCCTTGTGGGCCCTGGCTGCATTGAGCTCTCCATTCCTCTCTCTCCCTGCTGATAGCAGCTCTCCTTAGCTTTGGGTCTGTTGTAGCTGCAAGGAAGCCGCAGAGGAGTCTCTGGCCTTCCCCTGGGTCCTACCACGCATGGGTCCTCAGCATGCAATTCATTTTTAATTGACCCCCAGCTGCTAATGAGCAGCCTGCCTGCCCGCCCCTGGGCTCCTGTCTAGTTCTTTGCCTCCCTTTGGAGGGCTTCCCCAAGAAGATCCCACTGAGCAGGATGGTGAGGGATAGCAGTTGGAGTGAAGAACTGGATGTCCTGGCTCCTGGGGCCCGTTTTTTTTGGTGCTGCTGCTCACTCACCCTCTAGCCTTAGCCAGGCCACTGTGCTTGTGCATCGGTGTCCCACTCTGCAGTGGGAATCGACCTCCTTCCCCCATGGGTTCATTATGCAGCATTCCTCAAGCCCTCGGGGGGCACAGGGCTGGAGCCAGCTCAGGAGCCCTTACCGAAAAGGAGGAGGCATGCAGCAGCCAGAGGCACATGTGTCCCTGCAGGCAGGGGCCGCCCAGGGACTTTATTTTAAGAACGGGGACTGTAATGCCAGAGCGCAGCTGATCCCCAATGGCAACGCGCCCACCAAGCTGGCTGTGGCCACTTGCATCATCCTGGAAAGCGACCTGCCGGCTCCTCAGGCCAGGGAGCCGTTGCGCTTGGCACCAGGCACATCCCCACCACTTATTGGCAGGGGAGGGGCTGCTCACATGGACACTGAGCCTCCGGCGCAGCTGAGCACCCAGCCCTGCCAAGACGCTCACCTGGGAGCTGCTCGGA